GCAAGCACAGGCTCTCCTCCTCCTCCCTCCTTCCTCTGCTCCCTCCCTCTCTCTCTTTTAAGCCTTGACCACAGAGTGAGGCAGGCGGGGGTTGGGCGCAGAGTTGGCTCCTGTGGCTGCAAAACTTTTTCCCGGTGCTGTGAGTGCGGCGCCCGGGCTGGCGCGGCGGCGGCGGCGGCGCAGAGCGCGCCCTGTGCGGCCACCGGGGGATGAAACCTCCCGGCTCGCCCGGGGACTGACTTCTTTCCTCTCTTTGTGTTTATTGAAACTCCTCCCCGTGGCGTCAGGTTTTCCTGAAGGAAGCTCTTGAGCAGAAGCTGGAGAAGGATCGGGAAGAGGAGTTGAGGAAAGCAGCTATAGTCATCCGGGCCCACGTCTTGGGCTACATGGCAAGGTCAGTGCTGGGGGCTGCCCCACCATCCCTGTGCTTGCCTGCCTGGGTTGCCCCGACCCCCTGCTTTGCTCTCTAGTCCCCTCGCATCCCTCCCTTCCTCCCCCCTGTATTCTAAGGGAGAGCTGCAGTACCTGCCCTCCCTGCCGCCATCAGTTCTGCTGAAACCTTTCTGCACCTTTGCAACCTCTTCTTCCATCTGTGCACGCTTGCACCCTCCCTCAGCGCTGCTCAGCAGGCTCCTGCCGGGACCTCCGTACCCATTGCTTGCCTCCGATGACAGCTTTTCCTTGCCTTCAGGGCTCTCCTGGCTGGGCCCCACTTATGCTTTGGGTCCCCTCCTTTTCCTTACGCCTGTCAACTCTGTTTTCTGCTCCCCGTGCAAATTGCTTCTTCCTCACTTGCAGCTCTGCCTTTGCTCACCCTCTTTCCTCGCCTTGCCTGTTTGCCTCGTGATCTCCCTCTCCTTTTAATTAACTCTTCAGAATTGGGTTTTGGCCAGCTTTGCACCAGTAATCTCTTGCCGCTCCCTTTTGCACCTGACCAGGGGAGCATTGGGAGAACCAACTGCAGACAAACCGCCCCTCCTCTGCCCCTCGCAGTCAGTGTAACAGCTGACTCCTTAATGGCTGTGGCATGCACACTTAATCCCAGTAAGATGCTCTTTCCTGGCTGGTCTCTGCTCTGGACACCTGTCAGTCAGGGGTGTGAGGATGTGAAATCCCTGGCCGGCAGAGCTGTTCCAGCAGGCACTCTTCTTAGAGATCTAGTTACACCAGGTAAATGCTCATTTTGCGTTGGGAAATGTGTGCAAGGGTTGTACCCTGCCTTGCCAATGTAGAATATCAGCAAAATACGCATTTGGTCTCCGGGGCTTTTATTCATTTAGTTATTTCCCTCTAGGAAGACAAATGAGCTAGCTCTATTGTTTGTACATAAGATTGCAAGTTCTTTGTGTCAGGGCCTCTGCTCTGTTTTGCCTTGTGTCTAGCATTTGGAGAGAGGGGTAGGGATTAGCACAGTAAAATTGATTTTTCTGGGAAACATCGCTGCAGACAAAGTGGATTACTGCTTTTCTGAGTTCCTGGGAAGGTAGCTGCTGCCCTGCAGGGCTGTGACGGAGACAGTGTTGCAGTAGTGTTGCTCTTGGCTAGAAATCTTGTGGTCCTCCAGTCTGCATAGATCTGAATTCCTCATCCCACATGTTGCTCTTCTGAGTCTCGTCTTTGAGAACAAGCTGTGCTTCTGCAGCCAGAGTGGAAATCCTCACAAGCAGCTGGAGGTAACTGGACTTTGCAGGGGAGGAGAGCAGGGAGTGAGGAGAGAGCTAGGGAGGGAGAATGGAAAACTTTTCTGTGAAGAGTTTCCAGTTGCACTGCACCTGTATTGGAGAAGGTCCAGCAAGAGGGAGTTCATCTGGGCAAGTGGTGAATGGTCTGTGCAGAGCTCGGCAGAGGTCAGGAGTACCAGTGTGCACTGCCTTAAGCTTGATACCATTTCTGTTAGTTTTGCAAGGACAAGTGTATTTCAATTCATTTGGTCTCATGCAAAGTAGGTTGGTGAAGAAGGGTACGTATGCCCCAGGAAGGATTTTACTGGCTTCTCCCTCTTTGTGAACTTGTTCTGTGAGCCTGGAGAACCAGTCCTAAGGGTGAGAACATTTTCTTTGCTCTCGTTCCCTGCAGCCTAGTATCTCTGACTGATCACTAAAATGTGAGACAGGAAAATCAAGCCCATTCAAATGACCCCATCTTTCGTAGCTACTCTGTGGAACTTTGAGCTGCAGGTAACAGCTTCACCAGCTAAAATATGCATAACTCTTCCCGGGCTTGCAGGATCCATGTGCAAATTTGGCTGTGTCCCTGGATTCTGCAGGACCTTATTGCTCAGGGGAAAAGGCAGTGGGAAATTATTCCATAGCCCTGTGTTCTCTAGTCCTTGGAGGCATAACTGCTAACTACAGCTCGTCGACAGAATAATTAACTGAATTCCAAATGCAGCATTGGAGCCTTGCAGCCACCCCACCTTCTCTTGTGATATATGGTCAGGATGTCTCCCAACTCCTCGGCATGGGCTGCAGGTTGAATTTCTTTGACCAGTGCAAGAGGGTGAGTGGAAGGCTGAACAAGGGGAATGAAATTCACGGCCTGTGTGCAGCAATTCCAGCTGAAGGGCGTCTGCAGGCTTGGCTGTGGTCGTGAGGAATGAAGGGGCACTTCAGCCTGGCAGATTAGCAGGCAGAGCTGGCCTGTAGCTGGGCAGGGCTTGGCACATGTTGCACTTGAGAGAGTTTCTGGCAGATGCATTTTGTAAAAGTCAGAGTGCCCTTTTTGATGCACTTATATCTGCCTTGGCAGAGGGTGTGCATGCAGCTGTTCACACCCCATGTGCAGGGAGGACAGAGGGAGCGGGGATGAGGGGGCTGCAGCCCAGGAGCAATTAATCTAAAACCTCCCGCTTCTTATCACCTCTTCCCTTTCCTCTTCTTTTTTCTGTGCTTCCTCCCTTTGGCTTAATACTTATGGAAAAGAGCATGACCTCTGCACGGTACTGCTATTAGCATCCCTCTCCTGATTTTCTTCACTAGGCTGACGTATGTGATGTGCAGGGAGGTGGCAAGCTGTCAGCATGGGTCCCTGTTGCCATTTGAAGGGGGTTTGACTGCCAGGAAGGGGATTTTGAGGTGTGCCTTTTCCTCAGGGGGTTGCAGAAGGTCTGTGGGAAGGATATGTGAGAATACTGTGTTATTTCCAGCATGTTTCTAGGACTGTAAGACCTCACAGGTTTACTGTAGCCCGCTGGCCCAAGATCCTGTGTAACAGCCCCACAGAATTTCCCTCTGCAAATTCTGGTTTAGAGATTTAGGTGTCTAAATATAGTCAATTACTTTAAAAAATGTCCACTTATTTCCAGCCTGAATAGACTTCAGCTTCAGGTCAATTAAACCTTGTTATGTCCCCTGTTGGATAAATAGAAATGCCACCCAAAAATGTGGGTACGTTGACTGGGATCAAGCTTTTCCTTGGCCTTCTTAAGGTCATGGAGTAAGCGCTCTCTTTCTATAAGCCAGGATTTCTGGTTCCAATCCTGCTTCCCCAGAAATCACTTGAGGGTCTAACATTGTTCTTGAAATGGAGGTGCTAACACTGAACACAGGGTAAAAGTAGCAGTGCAGTCCCCTTCTACACAGTATGTCTGCTTGCAAGTATAAGAATCCCAGTAGTATTTTTTTCTATAGCATTGTGTTGGGAGTTTGCCTTCCCCTGATGATCCCTGTGGCCCCTAAATCTTTTTTTGACTTGCTGCCTCCTAACATAGTCCCACATCAGGTGTGTTTGGCCTTTGGTTCTTCAATAAAAGACCTTATGTTTGGCTCTTTTGGATTGTTTAATGTTTGCTTGAATGTAGCTTACAAATTGATCCAGATTACTGTGTAATAGTAACCCTTTTGTTATTTGCCCAGTTTGTGTATCGTGCACAAACTTCTACCAGTAACTTTTTTTTCACGTCCTTGATAAAAACATTCTGTAATGCAGAGGCAAGAACTGACTTTTCTAGAACTTCACTAGACTACAGAAATACTGAATAATGATTCTTTTCTTTTGGGGCCCTACCATGTTTTTTGGTTTTAGAGTATGGCAAAGTTGATTTTGATGTCATTATTGTTTAAGCAAAATGTTGTGCAATGTAAGTATATGTTTATGGGAGCCTGTTACAATGTTACATTCAGCAATCAATATTGTAGTATCACTGTGTTTTCCCCCAAACAATAGGAGATGAATGTGGCCAGATCTATTTTTGCCCCATTTTTTGCTTTTCCTGGAGTAATTTGGTTTTGGCCACTTAAAAGATGGGGCAATATGGGACTTTGTTCTCAAATAGTAAGGCCATTTGTATGTTTTTATTATAATAAATCCACACTGAGGGATTATGCTAATTGCACAGTGAATGTGCGCGATGTGCAGTGCAAGGAGACTTGGGGCCAGTGGACCTTCTCCTTCCATGTGCCAAATATCTGTCCTTCATCCTCTGAGGGTCTTCACGAAAGTAGATGCCCACAGAAACAAACCAGTGGTAGCTACAGGAGTAAGAACAGTGAGGAGAATATGATTTACAGGTAGCAGCAGTAGAGGAACAGAAATTGTGTCATTTCTGAGCAATATTTTTCAAAATTCTTTTTTCTGTGGATGTGGTAAGCTTGGTCAATATACCAGGGCATGAGGAATGCAAAGCATGTATTGCTTCATGGTGCATTAAGTGTCTGGTTCTGTTTTTAGGAAGAAGTATCAAAAGGTGCTAGCCAGTGTTGTTATAATCCAAAAGAACTACCGAGCATACTTCTGGAAGAAGAGCCTGCTGCGACTGAAGGCCTCTGCAGTCACCCTGCAGAAGCACTGGCGTGGGCGCCTGGCTCGCAGCCTCTACCGGCACCTGCTGCAGCAGGAACTCAGGCGGAAGCAGGAACTGGAGGAGCGAAGGAGGCAAGAAGAGGAAGAACAGATCCGAAGAGAGGAAGAGGAAAGACAATGGCAAGAAGAGGAGGAGCGTAGGAGGAAACAGGAAGAGGAAGAGGTGAAAGAAAGGTACAAGATGGTATCTTGCACTCATAGTTCCCTAGCCCTAAAGCTGCTGAGGTGTAAAAGCGGGTCTGGGGCGTTGGCATGATGGTAACGCTGGAACTGCAGTTGTATGAAACAGTGTCCCAATGGCAGGGGGCAGAGTTGGGGTGGGCTGTGAGCAGCTCAGAATAGAAAAGCAGAGTGGAAAAGGAGTGTCCTGCTTCCTTTAGGAAAGCTAATTCTGGTGTATTTTGACCTCTGTTTAGCATTTTTGTGCTTTGGAATGAACATGAGAGGAGGCAGTTTCACTGATTGGGCAGAGATGCACAATTTTCTCATTCCCTTTGCAGTGGTAAAGGAAGTTTTATGCAGTCTTCCAAAATCTGGAGGGATTAGCGGTGTGAGGAGGTACCAGAGTTCATGGGTCTTGGTGTGTCCAGTAAGCTGGGTGAGAGAGCAAGATGGGCAGCGCACCTGTGCTGCTATGGCAGTTCTTACAGTCATGAGAATACACGCCCTCTCCCTGTTCTGCTGCTGTGTATCTCTCATCAGGGATACGGGTGTGTCGAGAGATCAGGAGGGGAAAGGAAAAGCTAAAGAGGCAATCTGTGAGCAGTGACAGTACACTTATTGAGAATCCTGCACCTCATGCATCATTTGCTGTTCACCCCATGGTTACCTACATTCTATCCAAACTGAGTGTCTCTCTTGATACTCTTTTGTTTTAAGAAGCATAAAACTTCAACTATGAGATTATTATACAAATTTGAACAATAATCCTGTGACGCTTCAAGTTTTTCATAAACAGTTGGTTATGTTTCTTATAGGCTTTTGTTACGTACTTGTCCCAACAAAGTTGGGTCTTGGCAGACTAAGATGTGTGACAAGCATCAGAAAAATCTAAGGTTAGAAGTGTGTCACAAGGAAAAGCGATGGGCTGCGGTTTCACAGGAGACAGTAGGGCGACATATCTGCTGGGACAAGACATGGAGTCAGTGACACCAGTGATGAACAGTTTGGTCAAGCCATTTGTTGAACAACACTGAAGGCTTCATTTTATCAATGTGTCAATTTTCAACAACAGCCTCATCAGCAACCTGAAGCTGTGCAAGTTCAGACTGTTAGTAACTAGTTTGCAGATATCAAATGCTACAGACGCTCTCTCAGGTCTAAAGTACTCGTTATACTAAGTAGACCTTGTCCCTAACTAGTTTTAGATAAAAAGACCTATTTAGCTTATACATTCTAGTGTGTTTCTGCCCCTGCCCTCTAGTTCCCACCCCATGAAAGGTGTGTTCAACCCAGCATCGTTGGAAAGAAGTGTCTGTTCCCAGGAGTCAGGTGAACTGCTCATTTTGCTGTCATTTCCTACTTGATGTCAAATGGCTTCATTCAGAGTGAGTAGCCAAAAAGGTACTAGCAGACCAACTTGGCTAAATCCTGAACTTCCACTTGACCTCAAAAATGAGGTGGAAGTCCACAGAAATTGCAAATCAGTTAATCTACTGAGAACAAGCAAAAAAACCCAACACACATGCAGAGACAAAATTAGAAGGACCAAGATGCAAACTGAGCTGTAATGAACTAAAAGTTGGCATGCAGTTATTGTGCATACACTGTTAGTAAAAGGGAGACATGGAGCAATTTGGTCTACTGTTCAACAGGAAGAAGAAATTATAATGTTGAGAAAGCTGAGGTATTTGATGCTATTTTTATTTGACTTCCCCAAAAGGCTTAGCTGTTGGACACTAAATGCAATTAGCACAGATGTGCAAGAATTCAGAACCTAGCAGGGAAACAAAAGGTTAGAGAATGCTCAGATAAATCAGATTACAAAGTGGTTATCCGGATGTCGTGAAATTAACGTTTGGGTACTTCAAGAACCGGCTGAAGCAGTTTGAATCAGTAGCTATTCTCTTTCTCATCCTTTGTGGATAGCAATGGGGTTTCCATAAAACTGGAAAATTGCAAACGTAATGACCCCCTTTTAAAATGGGAAAAGGAAGAATGAGGGAATTGTGGACCAGTCAGCTTAACCTCAAGTTCAGGAAGATACTGAAACAAATAATCAGTTGTAAATGCTTGATAAAGGAGTTAAGAGCCAATGTGGATTTCTGAAGAACAAACAGCATTAAAGTTACCTGTTTCCTTATGTGATAGCCTTGTGGATAGGGAAAATCCAGAGAGGGTAGGTAACTTGACTTTGGGTAGGTAGAGAGTAGGTACGGGCTTTGACATGTTATGACAATACTCTAAGACACTGTAAGGGATGTGGTTTGGAAAAAAGTAGATGAAACAAGACTAGGATTTATGGTTTTACTGCATTGTATTATTGCATTTTAATTAGCAAACAATAGTAGTTCTTTGTTAAATAGGAGAGAACTCTTGAATGGGATTCTTCCGTGGTCTCTGCTGGATATGGTACTAGTGCAATGTTTTCATAATAAGTTACATGAGGAAATACGAGTATCCTTATTAAATTTGCAGATAAAGCCGTCTGGTGAGGGCCTGTAAGTATATAGCTAGACAGGATTACAATTCAAATACTTTTGGCAAATTAAATAAATGGTATGAAAAACATCAGATAACATTAAATACAGACATATGCAGATCTACAGTTAGGAATAATCAAATGCACAGAGAGAGAAGGA